CGATTATTGAAATAATAATTAGTTTCACTATAATTATCGATTATTAAATTCGGTATTATTTATAAATATATTTTTAAATAATACTCCCTCCGTCCAGAAATAAAGTTTACGTTTCTCCTTTTTCTCCGTCCGAAAATAAAGTTTACATTTCTAATTTTAACCCACACTCTTCCAAAAATACTCTTCTCTACCTTTCTTTCTTTCTCTTCTTTTTTCCTTATTTTTCCTTTCTCTCCTCATTCTTTCTTCCAACGCCTCTTTTTTTTTCTCTTCTTCTCCGCCGCTCTCCGTCACTCTTCTCTTCTTCTCCGCCACTCTCCTCCCAGCGCCTCTTTTTTTTTCTTTTCTTCTTTTCTCATTTTCTCTTTATGTAGATCTAATATCTTCTTCTTCCTCATCCTCCTTCTCCCTCTTTCTTCTAGATCTAAACAGATCTGCAATCACAAAGATGGGAGATGACGGCAATTAAGGTGCTAGCGGTGATGGGGGGCTGGCGGTGACAAAGTGCTGGCGGAGATGGTGGGATTTACAGCGGTGGTAGGGCTGGGGGTTGTGATAGGGGATGGAGGTGATTGGAGGCAGGCGCCTGGGGTGACGGGATCGGAGTGCTCGAAGAGATCGGGCTGCTGCTGCGGCTGCGGCGGCTGCGGCTGTTCTTGCTGGAGCATCAGGGGGCGGGGGCGGGGCAGGGCTAGCTTGATGATACCCGGTGGCCCTGAATATCCCATCCCAGCCCACACGGATGTCCTGAACGTCCCAGCCCACACGCCCCTTTCTTTTTCTTTCCCTTTTTTATTAAGGGTATTTTGGTCATTTCACAGGATTAGTCAACCTCCCTTAAAAATGACCAAAAGTCAAAACGTAAACTTTAATACCGGACGGAGGGAGTACATTTAAATTTAAAGTTAGAAATTAAAAAATGAAAAAAAATAGAATTTACTTAAAATAATCTCACCTTTCATTTATTTGCGAAAAAATAGACATTATTCAAAATTTACACACATGCAAAAAGGTGAAATTATTTCCAGTGACACTGAAAAGTAGGATTATTTTTGAAAGAGTGCAAAAAGGTGAGATTATTTGAAATAATTTTCCCTTATTTTTTAGTATTATTGACACGATTAGAATATGCTAAATAATATTCATTTAAACTAGGGCTAGACGCTAGACACGAGGACGGTTCCGAATCAAAACTGATGGTTCCAGCACCGAGGCCAGTGGCAACGGGAGACTAGGGCGTGGGACTGGTTCCAGAACCCGAGATAGTGATACTAATTCCCACCATAGGGTTGGTACCAGAATCAACCAGTTCTAGGTCCGGTCTAGTTCTGGACTGTTAGATTCTATTTTCTTTTTTTCTTTTTTTTAGTTTGAACGTNGGGGGGGGGCTGTCACCCCCCAAACAGGTAAATAGGGGAAGGTGGTGGTGAAGCTAAAAAATTATATAAATAACTTTCATTTTTTTTCAAAAATTCACATAACTCTTCTCCATCTCTATTCTCACTATATCTTTCATACTCCAATCTCTATTACTCAACTCATATGTTCATATTATTTATCAAAATATACTATAAATATATTATAATATATTACTCCGTATTAATAATTAAATCTTGTAAGTTTATAATATATTATTCATATTAGAATTCTAAAATCTATGATATTACTAAATATTATATTATCTATCTAAATTTCTATATTGTTCAAAATGTCGCTTAGAAAGTCCTTCAATTTGGGAGCTTGAACTAAGCCGCCACCACTTCTGAAGGTTCAACCTCACACGTCTTCCAATCTCTGTCTTGACCTTCCCGGGAATCTCAGAGGTAAATCTATCTGACATAATGGATGATATTAAGTTTTCTCAGTTTTTGGGGTTGTAAAATGATGTGCATCTTGATGGTAAACTCATGAGTTCAATCCGTGAGGACGATGACGGGATGGAGGGTCTAACTTGGTTTGCCAAATCTCGTTCTTTGATGTTAACCAACAATATATGAGCTAATGTTTGTTTGAGTGTTTCAGGCACAACAAGAAACCATTAAGTGCATCCCACATCGGAAGTCCAAGAGTAAAATAATCCGGTATATAAGCTCTTGAGTTGAACTAACTAATCGATTGGATTCAATCTTTTAATGTGGTTCAACCCAAGTGTCTTATTACCCAATCCAGTTGTCCATATCCATCCCATATTCTATCATGGTATCGGAGCCTGGTTTTGGCTCACCTCGTTTGTCAAGGTGTCCGTCTAGACATTCATTCCTAGCGGCCCGTTTGTCTTTAGCTCAGTGTTTCGTATGGAGTATGTATCCAACGGCCTGTGGCCCGTTTAACACGATTGCTCGTCTGGAAGTCTATACCCAGCGGCTCGTGGTCCTTTAGGTGTTGGCGCTCAAAAAAATCAAGGGAATTGGAGTCTATTTGCAAGTGGTTAACCGGTTAGATTCAAAATGGCCCGGTCGTCCACTTGAGGGGGAGTGTTAGAGTGCATCCCAAATCGGAAGTCCAAGAGTAAAATAATCCGGTATATAAGCTCTTGAGTTGAACTAACTAATCGATTGGATTCAATCTTTTAATTTGGTTCAACCCAAGTGTCTTATTACCCAATCCAGTTATCCATATCCATCCCAAACTCTATCAATAAATTTGAAACATCAAACTAGTGTTAAATATAAGTAGAAACAAATGTAAGGATATGATTTTATATATCTATATTCACAAGCTCAAATGAACTCATAAAATATATTTAAAACCTTCTTATAATCATTTTAAAACATCCAAAAGGTTTTTTAAACAAAAATCGAAAAAGATTTGGCCAAAAATGAAAAAACCTACATAGTGGTTTGGGACCCCCTACTGTTTTCCCGGGACCTAAAAACCATCTACCCGGGACCCCCCTACCGGAAGGAGTACTGTTAGGATAGCTAGACAGCTGCCGCCAGAGAATATATGCCTGAGAAGGTACCTAGCTACCGTTAGTCCGGGACCCCCTACTGTTAAGGCGTCTCCTAATAAGTATCATTTCAACGGTTAGATTTTTCAAAATTGTTGATTTCCTTTTAAACCACTTTTAAATACCTTTAATACTCCAAATCAACTCCATACGGTCATATTTGATATTCAACTATAAATAGGACGATAATCCTTCGTTCTAAACATCAACACAAAGTTCTAGTCATCCATCATCATATTCTAAGTGTGTTCTTGATCTTGTTCATTAATCTTCATATTTTGGCTTGTTAGAGCCTTGTTTTTATTTAGATTTTATACACACACATTTAGCTTGTGATTATATACATATATATACTCCCATATTCATTAAGTTGATCTTGTATTATTTTAGAGAGTATTATCTTCGTTTTTCATTGGCCAAGGATTGACCTTTTCTATATCGTAGGTCAAGGTATTGAACCCATTTTCCGTGTTCTTCATACACAAATCATCAGTTCTAGCGGTAGAGGATAGCTGCATAAATCCTTGTATAAACGGTAAAGGATAGCCGAGAAATCCTTGAGTAAAACGTTTGAGGATAGCATTCAAAACCTTGGGGGGTGGGATGTCGAAGATAGCCTTAAAATCTTCATTATAAACGGTTTGGGATAGCCGTTGTGAAATCCCTGAGTTAATCATGTTGACAAGGGTTGTTTGCCAAATCTAGTACAATGCTTTGACAGAGTTCAAGAGGCCGACACTTAGTGGATCCGAAAACCTTTAAAAATGAGCTTTAAGGTACTAAAGTAGGAAGTTCTCGAACCAGCATAAATCGATGTGTCTTTATTCATTGCTTCCGTGCTTTCTAATCACCGATTTTATTTAACCGCGAAAAGTTTTTTAAACTCCTTATTCACCCCTCTAAGGCATGGGCACATCGAGTCATCGACTGACACTTTTATAACTAATGATTTTACATCTTTAGTCTCTAATTAAAAAATATTACGTTCATAGTCCTCAATTTTAAAAAATATTTCATAATCAATCTTTTAGTGACTATTTGTAAAAAATGGTCATACATAGTTTAGTTGACTAATATACAAATGTAACATCTTTAAAACACTAAAAATGAAAAAAATAATTTACTACAAAAGATCATTTTATACACATCTATAAAAAAAGGTACCTTGATGGTTATAATCAGGGCTGCAAGGTGAAATTGATCGAAAAAAGAGAGAAAGAGAGACGAGTGGGGGCGCAGAGAAGGGAAAGAATGGGTATATGGAGGGTGGGGTAGGGTAGCCTTTTATTTGGTGTACATCCAATGTACAAATCCAAGGTACATATAGTATTTACCTTAAAATAAACAACAAAAATGAAAAAAAATCATTTACTACAAAGGATCATTTACAAAATGTAATCATAAAAAAAATTCATAGTAATATATTTTCTCTTGATTCATAAAACTTTTGATATAATGCTTAAATATTTAATTCTTAGGGGCTGTTTGGTAACTTCTGAATGGGTAAGTGCTGAACCAGTAAGAGGTCTGAACCATTAAGTGTTGAACCAGTAAGAGGTCTGAACCATTAAGTGCTGAACCAGTAAGAGGTCTGAACCATTAAGAGCTAGTATATTGTTTAACTATTCAGAGGCAAATGTCTGATCAATTCAGACAAGAGCTCTTAACCCTTCAGAGTCTGTATAATACTTAACCATTCAGAGGCAAATCTCTTAACCATTCAGACATCTGAACCATTAAGAAGCTGAAACAAACAGTCTGAACCATTAAGTGCTGAATCATTCAGACATCTGAACTATTAAGAGGCTGAAACTAACAGCCCCTTATTTTCAATTTCACACCAACTTTTCAAAAAATGAATTAAAAAAAAATTTAGTCAAACATCATAACACACTTTCACCACTACCCATATAAACATTCAATAAAAAATTGTTCATTTTCCTCAATGCTAGAGGAAAATTTGATGGAAATTTCCTTACTCCAAGCATGAGAAAATTGGGGACTTCATCCTCTGATGGATATTGATAAATGTGAAGATATTCCATCATTGACTAAATCACTTGTCCGAGGGAGAGAAATATGTTCAAATACATTAATCACAATGTTGTGTAGCAATCATGAACGTAAATGGGTTTTCCCAAGTACATTTTCAACGGCAAAATTTGAACATTCCATAATAACCATATGATTTTTTTAAAAAAAGAGGGGCGGCGTGTAACCGCATAAGAATAACATGATTTCCATGGATGCGTAATGTTTTAAGACATTGACTTGACAAGAAGGCTAGCTGTGAACAACCGGGAAGAATGAAACACAACAAAAAAATATGCAAAAACCAAAATGCACTAACTACTAAACATGTGACCCTGACACTGAGATGATGAATCAGGGGGGGAGACATGAATGAGAGATGCAATCCAACCTGAAAAACAGGATGCAACTAACTAACTATGACCATACAAACATCAGACCAGACCCCAAAAAAACACGAGTATTTGACGAGACCCAGAAAAGAAAAACTTATGGACTTGTTTGTTCATTAACACCTCCCTTCGAGAAAATGTCAGCAGCAGCACCATACGGCACTTCTTGCTAGTAGTTGACCCGCAATAACCCAATGTACCAGCAACCTGACTTGTCCATTCAACATACAAGAACCCCTCCCCTCCCCCTCCCACCCACCCCAGCCCACCCCCACCCCACAAAACCCCAATTTGACGACCTTAAAATCTTGTAAGGAGCCGCCAGTAATGAACCTTCAATCCCATACCAGGAAGCAATGAATGGACACCACAGTGCTGCTGTATGAGTTGGTGACAACTTGAAGGAAGACGAACGGCTCCCTGACATGTGAATGCAATCTTGGAACCCGACTCGACACGACCATATGCATGCAGGGACTTGACCGACTCCTAATAAGGAAACTTTTATATACCAGGGGAGCCTCAAACTGAAATGGCCCGAGTTATGGCCAACTTGGCCCACTCAGCAGATTCCTTAATCAAATGGTCATCTGAGGATAAACATTCGTTCAAGAAGTCTTTGCTTGATGCAGACTGTTGAATCAAAGAGCCAGCATTACTACCCAGTGCATCAGCCAGATCACCAAGGACCCCAATGGCAGTTTTGGTCACAGCATCATCCCTGGAGAATTAAAGAAGAAAGATAAATATGAGGGAACATTTTTAGTATAAAAAGGCACACACACACAGAGATGTGTGTGTGTATATATAAATAATATATATATATATATGAATTATTATTACTCACATGTCTTTCTCCATGTAAATACTATCCAGAAACTGCAGAATATGAGGCGCGATAGGGGCGAGCAGAGGGGTTTTGGGAGAATTTTTAAATCCTTGAAGGATTCCAGAATACGCCTCCAAGATACTGTTTCTCAGAAGATTGGTATACTCAATCATCTCATCATCAACACCTGATGTGTGTACAGACAGCTCAGCAGCACTCTGTAGCATAGGCATAGCATACATAAGGTATTTCTCAAACTCCACTCCTATCGCCAAGGCAATGTCTCCAAAGCACGAAAAGATGGGAGGCTTCACAGATCGATGGAGTTGGTTGCTGGACAAATCTTTGAGCAGCAGAGTCATAATGCCATCACAATAAGGCATAACTTTATCCTCCAAAGCTCTGCATATATCACCAACTACCCCTACAGTGACTGAACAAACTTGATATTCCTCAAAGTTCTGAAGACCCATTTCCAGGTACTTGTAAAATTCTGGCATGTACTTAGCAAAATCAGGGCCTACAGCATAAGCAAGAGCTCCGATGGCAAGCATGGCTTCTTCATGCACAGTGGCACTTCTGCAAGCAAAAACCCTGAGAAACAGACCCATGATCTGATCCGCATACTGCATGAAACCATATTTCGTATGCTCTGACGCTCCGAGTTTCTGAATGATGACCTGTAAGCAACCACAAAGAAGACCTTGAAGCTCACTCTGCTTCTCTCTTTCATCAGAAGAAAGCTTTTGTGTCTCCAAAGTTTGGTGGAGCTCCGACATAATGACTGGTACTAGTTGAACAACCATCTGTGCTGTTTCATCAGTAGAGCACCTCACCACTTCATTCAGCGTCTCATATGCAGCCGTCCTTAACCTAGACTCACCAGCATCTTCACGGTGAGTAACTAAAAGAAGAGACTGTACAATTTCCTGGAAGAACGGTGTTATTGGAGATGGTGAACCCACATCTTCATACCCCTGTGCAAGGAAATAGAGAGCACCACATGCTTTCTCAGCAACATTTGGAGCATCTTTCATGCTGTGAAGAAGAACCGTAACAATTTGCTGACAGTTTGCTTGAGTAATAATTGGTGATTCAACCATTGATCCATGAAGGAACTCAAATATTCTACCCAAGGTCCAAGCTGTAGTATCTTTCACATGACTGTTGGGATCTTTGGTCAAAGCAGTGAGCATGAAATTTAAAGCAACATTGACAATAGGTGTTAACTTGTCAGGAGAAGGACCTTCCAAGATGGAACCGAAGGCATATGTGGCAGCTTCTCTTTGCCTCCAATCAGGTTTAGTAATGTTCTCTTCAATGAATGGCATGACAAGTGGGACAATATCATCACCAACTGTGCGAGCGACCAAACCAAGGCAAGTTCCTCCAGCCATTGCAAGGTTCCAGGCACCTTCATCTTGATCTTGATCTTCTTCTTGCTTAAGAAGAGTTTCTAGAAGCATTGGAACTAGAGCAGGGAGAGCCTGCTTAATGAAATAAAAACATGACACCTCAGAGTCTCCAGTGAAATCACCCCCATAGTCTTCTAAAATATCAATTTCCTCGTCACATATTGAGCTCCAAAACTCAATGGCTTGAAGAGCAACAGGCTCTTCATCCTCCTTTACCGCCTTTGCTGTTATGTTGAAAATATCTTGGATGTAAGGAGCTAGTTTCTCATAGTATGTTGATGAAATAGACACCAAACATTCAAAAGCAGCCTGTCGAATTTTCACTTCAGGAGACAGAGTAGCCTCACAAACAACTCTCATAATAAAATCACGCTCCATATCATTGTTGAAATTTGCTTGGGCAAAGCCCAATGCATTATACAAGGCTTTAGTGGCAACAAGCCTAATATCATTCCCTTCAGTTGCATTCATGCCCTGAACTACAGCTGTAAGTATTTTATTTACTTGGTCCTGGTCAACAACATCGGGGGACACTTCCTCGCACAAATACCCAAGAGTTTCCAAAGTAGCTTGCTTGACATGAGCAGAAACTTGGTGAATATTTGACAACAATGATCCTATTAGCTCCGGCCATTGCTTGTGTGGCAACTCAATGCCAGCAACCTTTGCAATCACTTGGGAAGCAGTTGAACGAGCATCCAGGATTGGTGAAGAAAGGGTCTGCAACAAGCATGCCTTAATCTGAGCCTTCATAGACACATCCAGTGCAAGCCATCTTTGCATAAGCTCATACTTCCTATGTTGTTCCTTTGCATCCAAAGCATTTTTAAGTACCAACCCAGCTAATTTACGACTATCAACTGGCTTATCTTCAGATGCAAGCTCGCCAGATAGAGAAATAAGAAAAGCAGGAAGGTTTTGTTCCTGAAACTGTTTCAAAGTTTCTTCTGCATGCTTCCGAACAGTTGAATCATTTGACTGTGCATTGAGAAGAACTTGAGTGACTTCCATTGTAATATAATGTACCTGCTAACAATCAGTAAATAAATGCAATAAGAGTTATACGGAAATAATGAAAAAACACCTGCATTCGATACACCTATTTGTCTAAAAATATCAAACAGACAAATATAGTATTCCCACCCAATGCTTATAAAAGGGAAAATCCAAATGCTGAATGCAAACATAAACCTGGTGTTACAACAGAAATGGTGAAGAATATAGCAAATAAGCTATGTATGGAAGAAACCTGAAGAAAAGTACTTTTTCAATTGTAAAAATGTTTCTCTAACACACCATTTGAAGCAAATTACACATCTAACACAGACAAACAATGCAAAAAAATCAAATGAAATCAAGTACATGAAAAGCATTCAAAACATGTAGACTATATATCCAGCTAAGACACAATTATGGATCCAAAGCTTCATTATTTGAACTAAAACAGAACACACAAGTCTTTTAAATTCTACAGATCCACACAGGTAGGATGTCCATCTTTCAATATGGTTACCAAAAGCAGACAAAAAGACTCAACTTTGTGGCGCCCAATCAGTGTGTGTAGTTCCCGCAGAATATGCAACACAGAAGCACAAAGGTCGATCCAAATAATATAAATTGACAAAAACTCAAACTCATTGCATACTTAACTACCACTAAACTCCAAAAGGTTCAACTTGCATTAAAATCAGCTCAAGTACAAGCGATGCATCAAGAATTTCAAATATAATAACAAAATATAACCCAATCAACTAAAGAGCAGAATTTAAACAACCCAATTTCAAGAGGAAAAAAAAAGTTGACATTTGAGAAAGCGGGACTGAACTTATAGATCAGAGTTCATTTCCTTAAAATAAATCGCAGAGAGGTGCAGGAAGCACGCCGATCGGATACCCCATACGCGTATAGATCAAGAGATCGAGTTTTTAAAAAATGGATCCGTAAATGCTCAATTTTAACACTATGGAGTTTGCATATGAAAAATCAGAGTAGAGTGGGAGGAAAGTGTATTACGTGAAAGCCGAGATGACCGCGGGGGAGAGTTTCAGATCGAACACAGCAAAAGCGGCGCCTCCTGAAACCCTAACAGTGAGAAAGGGGTGAGAGAGAAATAGAGACTCAGACTATGAGAGAGAAAGAGAGAAAGAGAGAGAAACAAAACGGAGAGAAGGACGCGGTTGTACTGCTGGAACTGAATTATGCAAATTGATCGTGACAATAATCTCCTCCTAAGTGCAAGTAGTGGCCAGCTTTCTTCAAAATCCCTTTTTTAAATTATTCTCCCTCACTCCCTCCCTCACAAAAAAAATACACAATTCATTATTTAAAAATGACAAAAAAAATATTTATATATTTTTATCAATTATTTAATAAATAAAAATATTTTTGTCACATAAATTTTTAAATTTTTTTTGAAGAAGTTTTTAAATATGTTAATTTTATTCTTTATTTATATATCAATCCTTAAATAAAATGAAAAAACTTGATATTTAATTATTTTACGTGATGCGGCAAACGAAGAGAGAAACTCCGTACTAGTATGTAGTAAAAATATGTTACATTTGCATTGTTTTTTAGTACTATTGACTCAATTAGAATATAGAATCTATTCATTTTTCACTACTTAATGACGAACAGTGAGTCAATACTTTTTATTTGATTGGATTCAAACCAAGTAAGTTTTCATGTGATTCTTGAGAAATGCAATTGATATCACTCAAATCAAAAGAAAAACTACATCTTATTTTTTATTTATTTTTTACAAATGAAATTTTATTAATAGATCAATAAAAGATTCTTCATCTCGTATTATTCATCTGCTTCAAACTAGTCTGAACCGGTTTGAACTGGTAAGAACTGGCCGATCGAACCGGTCCGACCAGTTTTTTTGGCGAATTTTCGTGTTTTTTCCAAAAGCATACACCAAGGGAGATTGAACTCAAGATCTCTTAGAAATTTAGTTAAATTCCTAACCATCCAAGCTCTGGTGCTTTTTGTTACAAGTTTACTTAATCTTTTATAATATTTCATAATTTAAAAAAAGATTGTGTAAAGATTCCTTTTTAGTTTGTAAAATATAATTGATATTAGACAAAATGCAGTATCATGTAAATATTTCATTTGAGTATTTTTAATATTAGATATGTAACACCTTAATTCGTTCAGGTCTGCTGCCCCTTTCGGACTAAAGTATTAACTTGGTAATCGTAAAAATTTAAAACATTTCCAAACACTTTTATTCATCATAAGAATAATTTTTTTCATAACATAAACAGTATGGAGTTTTCAATATTTTAGAAGCTTAACAATCATAATCACAAACATAATTTATTTATGTTCTTCAATTCAAAACCATCACATCCATTTCGACAACCTCGCCTCCATCTTCCTCCAGGATCACGTCACATCACTCTTTATATAAACTTGTGTGTAGCAAATAAAACATACTACATGCTCATCGTTGAAGCTGAGTAAGCATATCTAATGCGTCGAACATCCATATAAATTGATCTCAATTCATAATGAAATTATTTGATATCATGCACACAATGTTCAATTCAGATATTGAATAGTCAAAATTCAATATTCATTATTCAACATTCATATTCAACATTCATATTCAATATTCATAGTGTCAACAATGCTCATAAACTATTATTAATCTAAAGCCAATTTCCTTCTTAAACTAATTCTAGTTTAAGGTATTCCTAGTCAACACTTGAGCTAGGTCTAGTTTAAGATACAAATTTTCAAAAAGGTTTTCAAAATTCTAAACTTACCTTCGCTTAAAGTCAACCAAAAACCAAACAGCGGAATATTCAATGTCGGGTAGGTGGTACCCCCAAACGAGTAGGTACTCAAGTTTGGTTTATGGATCCCGTACGTAGGTTTTAACCTTAGCCACCGGACATCATACCCGCAAGGCCTAACTAAATGGGTATATCTTAGAGTTTTTCTAAATATCCTTGAAATCAATATTACGTAACTAAAATGGTCATTTTGGGTATATCTTAGGGTTCTTCTAGATACACTTGAAATTAATATCAAGTAACTAAAATTGTCATTTGGGTATATCTTAGGGTTCTTCTAGATACCCTTCAAAATCTACATCACTATGGGTATATCTTAAAGCTATTATAGATACCCTTAACAATACACATTATTTTCATAATCATTAATATATTCATTGTTAATAATGATTCAATCATTCATAATTATGATTTCAATCAGAATATTCATCAAGGTTTAATCATCATAATCATCAATCAATAATAATCATTATAATCATCAATCAATATAACATCCAATATCAAATAACAGCATAGCTTCGAGTGTTAACACCCTAGCTTGCCGTCATTCATCACATAAGATTTTATTTGTCAAAAACATCATTTATATTGTGAAAAATCATCTTTATATTGATCATAATTGATTGGTATCAAAAATAGGATTTTAGAGCTGAAAATAACATTTTCAGAAATATTTTTGGGTCAAAATTTTGGATGATCGATCCAGCTCCTTGGACCGATCCACCATAGAAGAAAAACTCCCAGGGGATTGATCCAGTAGGGCGGATCGATCCATCCTCTGGTTTTTTGATCACTGTTCATCTTCTTCTTTGTTTAGGTCTAATTTCGAAAATACCATTTTTAGTCACCAAACTTCAATTAAACTATATATAGAAATGTTCTCCAAGTTTCATAGATCATTTTGGTATCATTAATTCATTGATTTAACAACAATTTCATGGTTTATGATTCTTGGTTTTTCAAGTATGTCAAACACAAAACTCAACCAAACGACCGTTTATGAACGTAGAAATGATCTATACGAACATTCTAGTCACTAGATATATCTATGGGCTTACCTCGAAGCTTAATAAAGATTTTGAGAATTTTTTGGTGAAACTTCCGACGACGTTTGTGGCTAGCTCCGGCGACTTCACACCAAATTGACAGCACCACTGCGTTCTTCACACTCAAGGCTAACTCTTAGAATAAATTTGAAAGGAAATGGTGAAAAAATTGGTTGAGGATTGATTCCTTTATATAGGAGAAGAAAAGGGGAAGAATACATGGGATGACCTCTGTTCTCCTATTTTAGCGTCTCAGTGGAGGGGGCTGCGGTTCCTACGAATTTTAAACGCAAGTCCATGATTGGGACTAATTTTGGTCCTAGTCGGGATACACTTTTTTGTCCAACTTTCTCCATGTAACACCCTAATCCGTCCAGGTCTGCATCCCCTTTCGGACTAAAGTATTTAACTTGGTAATCGTAAAAATTTAAAACTTTTTAAACACTTTTATTTATCACAATAATATTTTTTATAACATATACAGTACGGAGTATTCAACAATATTGCGGAAGCGACTTTAATTTTGACATATCATAAATCATTTCAAACTTGTCACATCCATCCCGACAATCTCGCCTCATCTGCCACCAGGATCACATTATGCTTTCTGTTTACCTGCATGTAGCAAATAAAACACACTACACGCTCAGCGGTAAAGCTGAGTAAGCATATCTAATTCGTCGAACATCCATATAAACCGAATCTAGATTCATAATCAAATCATTTGATATCATGCACACAATGTTCATTTCAGACATTCACAGTTTTGGTATTGTTCAGTTCATATTAATACATTTTATTCAATTCAGATACTATTCTAATAGTGCTCTTAAATTATTCTTAATCTAAGGTCATATCATAACAACGCTCTTAGCTATTCTTAGTCTAATACCAGATCATAATAATGCTCTTAGCTATTCTTAGTCTAAGGCCAAATCATAACTTCCATAACCAAATTCTTTTAAGGCAATTATTAATCAGACACTTAAAATATAATTAGTTTAAGGCAATTGATTTCGGACACTTAACTGTAGTCAGTTAAGGCAATCAGACACTTAAACTATCATTAGTTTAAGGCAAATGATTTCGGACACTTAACTGTAGTCAGTTAAGGCAACAACAATATAGTGAATGATCAACATTGGATCGGGCATTCCCAAACGAGTGATCCTCTAGTTTGGACTACGAATCCCATTTATGCATTTTTATATAATCCACCAACTATTTATGTTTTCATAAGTTATTCTAAGATCTATGCTAGAGGTCTTCTAGATAGTCTTAACATCAATTAGCTAATAGATATATCTTAAAGTCTTCTAGATATCCTTAATAATACACATCATTTTCTTGTTGATCAAATTATTCATTTTAATCATGGTTCAACCATTATTAATCATTTTAATCAGTAGACTCATCATTCATAATCATCCATAATAATCATTCATCCTAGTCATCAATTAACATAACATCCAATAACAAGTAGCGGTCTAGTTTCGAGTGATAACACTTTAACTTACCGTCATGCATCACATAATGTTTTATTTGTTAAAAACATCATTTTCATGGTGGAAAATCATCCTTATAATGATCACAATCAATTGGTATTAAAAATAAGATTTCATAGCTCAAAAACCATGTTTTCTGAACAATAATCGATTAATATATCATAGGCAAATCGATTAATTGCTTCTGACTTCATTTCTTCAGTAGATTAATACCATAATCGGTTATTTTGCTCCTATAATCGATTTTTACTTAAATTAATCGATTATTTTTAGTAAAAATCAATTATTGTGCTGCTAAACTCAATTTCTTCAGCAAACGAAAGTCTAATCGATTTATTAATGAAAAATCGATTTTGCATCGTCTTCTACCTCGAGCCAACTTACGAAAATGTCATTTTTAGTCACCAAACTTCAATTAAAGTATATAGAAATGTTCTCCAAGGTTCATAGATCATTTTGGTAACATTAGTTCATAGTTTTAACAACAATTTCATGGTTTATGATTCTTGGTTCTTCAAGTATATGTCAAACACAAAACTCAACCAAACGACTGTTTATGAACGTAGAAACGATTTATATGAACATTCTAGTCACTAGATATATCTACGGGATTACCTCAAAGCTTAACGAAGGTTTTGGAAATTTTCCGGCAAAACTTCCGGCGACGATTACTCCCAACTCCGGCGACCTCTCACCAAATTGACGGCACCACTGCGTTCTCCTTACTTAGAGCAACAGTATAGGAAGAAGTTTTGTGACAAATGGTGAAGAATTGAATGAGTTGGGTTTTCTTATATAGAGTGGTGAGGAAGAAGAAGACACAGGATGATGATGATTCCTTCTATTTAGGATCGGCTAGTGCGCTAGGAGGCGTCGACTAAACAGTACTATGATTGGGACCAATTTTGGTTCCAGTCGAGGTGCACTTTTTGGTCCAACTTTCTCCGAATTGAATTCCATTTGCACCGTTGCGATTGGACAGTTAAAATCTATCCAACGATATAACTTTTATATTTATTTGCAACATTTTTTCCGACATCATATTTTTGGGTGTTTGACTTTGACAGAGTCAAAATTGGTTTAATTAACCTTTCTCATAAAAGGTTCTCTAATTTAATTCATATCAATTATTCTCGTTATTTATTTTAAGAAATCATTCCAATATTTACATTTTAAACAAATTCTTTATATACTCTCGATTTGGGTATGTATTCAGGTTCCAATCAAGACCACATAAATAGTCCACATACTGGATTTATCTCTATGAGACTTATCTAGATTTTGATATTGGATGTCAAAACACATTTTATATCTGTCCAAAGCCCAACAATAATTTATTTTAATCAAAACAAATTTGATTAATTAATTATTTATTCATTAATAATTCTAGGGTATGTTTTGGGGCGTTACACTCCAAATTGAAATCCGCTTGCACTGCTGCGATCACACAGTTAAACTCTATTAAAAAATATGATTTTTATATTTATTTATAATACTTTTTCCGACGTCATATTTTTGGGTGCTTGAATTTGATAGAGTCAAAATTAATTTAGTTGACCTTTATTCAAAAAAGTTCTCTCATCTAATGCGTACTCCCTTCGTCCCATGAAACATGGGATGTTTTGCTTTTTGAAGAGATTTAAGGGAATGTATTTTGGTATTGAATTTCCAAAAATGTCCTTTGATGTGATGGGTAAAAGTAGGATTTGATAGTTAGATTATTAGTAAAAAGGTATGATGTGATAGGTAAGGTATGAAAAAGTAAGGGGTAAAAGTGACTTTTTAATAGAAATGAAAAGTGTTTTATAGGACGGATGAAAAAAGAAAGGAGAAAGATTTATGGGACGGAGGGAGTATTATTTATTCTCATGATTTATTTTAGTAAATCATTTCAAAGTTCACATCATAAACAATTTTAATTCGGGTCTATACTGCGGTTCCCAATCCAGATCACACAAATAGTCAACATAATGGATTTATCTCTATGAGATTTATCCTGATTGTGATATTAGATATCAAAACATATTTCATATTGGCCCAAAGCCCAAATAATAATTTATTTTAATCAAAACAAATTTGTTTAATTCAATATTTAATTCAATAAATTTTAGGGTATGTTTTGAGGCATTACAAGATAACTTGTTTGAAAAAATAAAATCAACTCTTCATTTATAAAAATTTTAATATTGTTTTTTAAATACATAAATTTTATTTTTTAACTTAGTAAAATAACTCAAGTATATTAAAATAACTAGTATTTCGACCCGTGCCACGCACAGAATCGAACGAATTTTTTATCGACTCTGAGATTTTTTCAATGCAATATTTTTTCGGATTAAAGAAAATATACTCACTACTATAAAAATGCACATATAGACTGGTCCAATTACATCAGTTGCTAACAGATGCAAAAGTCTGAAGTTCACTTATCGGTTAGACCTTTTGCATCGATTATTTAATGAACCGATGCGAAACGTCATTTAATTTTTTTAAATTTATTTTGGTAAGGACCTTTTGCATCGGTTTTTTTAAATAACCAATGCAAAAAGTCTTTTGCATGGGTTAGTTAAAAAACTGATTCAAAAGCTCCTTTAATTTTAATTTTTTTAGAAAGAGCTTTCGAATCGGTTATTTATAATAACCTTGGGAGCAAGTTGTCTTCTTCTTCCTCCACTTTTTTTCATTTTTTTTAATTTTAACCCTTTTTTTATTTTTAATTTTTGCTAATTTTTAATCTACTACTTTTATTTTATTTCCTATTACTCCCTCCACCATGTTATTTTTGTCCAGTATTCTTTTTTGGGTTGTCCCACAATTTTTGTCCACTTTCTTTTTTTAGTAAAACTTAATATGTTCAATTGTCTTTTTTATTATCTATTCTCTCTTACAATTACACCCACCATCGTCACTTCACTACCCAATTCTCCCCACCACTGTCACTACACTTTATGAACAAGACGATACAGACATAGACGATTCCAGTGTTGACGATGTGATGGTTATTCCAGCAACAAAGAAGGAGATTTGACCGGCATTGCAAGCAGGTCTGAACGAATCTGTCATGGGAGAATGAACAAACTAGGAGTAAAACATATGTCATATTCTCAAAATAGGAGTTCAAACTTAAACTCTTCTAAATAGGAGTAATTAACATAATTAATACTCTGTAAAACAAAAATATGCTCCGAACATGCACAGATGCATGCAAATATATTAAGCAGCGAGATTACCCACTCCATGAAACTTTTTTTTACAATCAAGTTTTTGAGTTTTTCTTTTTTTTAAAAAATTTTTAATAAAAGGTTAAAATAAAGATTTTAACTTAATTAATACGTAGTAAAAAAATGCTCCCCACATGGCCACATGCGCTGAATTTACGGCTAATACCAGTGGTGGTCAAGTTCAAAAGTAAAAAAAAGACTAATTTCACAACAACATGCTACCGACAGCGACGCCTAGTGCTGCAATCGTCGTCGACAGTGATGCCCGCCGCCGCCATCGTCACCGCCACATACCTGCCACTATCACTTGAATCTCCACCACCGCCGTCCTGTGCTCCGCCGCACCGCTACAAATGAAACCTATCATTAACGCCTTTGATTTTTTGTTATCACCACCGACAATATCACCGCTCTATACCAGTACTAACAACACTATCATCACAATTTGCATCATCGTCACCACAATGTCACATTAATAGTCCATAAAGTGTCAAAGAAATAAATAAAAATGTAACACTATGTAATGTCATATATGACAATATATAATACCATAGATGCCCATATATAATGCCACATATGCTCATATATAATGTTACAATGTTACACAATGACATAATGACAAACCAAATGTAATGACACCGTGTAGTAGATACCTAAAATGTAAGAGTCTTCTACAACTCACTAAAAGCATGCAACAAAAAATTTATTGGTAGACCAATTAATCTTCACTAATACTCCTCTTTACCTTTTTTATTATAGCAAAAAAAACTAATCTTTGACATCATTTCGTATATATACGGTGGTGACCATTGATAATGGTTAAATGTTCCTTCTTAATAAAACAAGATTGGATGGGTATTGTAAGGATACATAAAATGCATAGTAGTAGTCTGTAGAAGATGGTGAGCTAAGAAACTCTTGTTGGTGTTTTGTCTTTCTTTGGATTCAGCTCTGGTTTTCCCACTCTCATTATTCACATCTATTCATTCAAATTGAACAATTTCTGGTAGTTCTTGATTAGTCAATTGATTCAAACATATATTTAATTAATTACTCCTATTTAGAGGAGTTTAAGTTTGAACTCCTATTTTGAAGATATGATACATGATTTACTCCTATTTAGGGGGTTTTCTTATCTGTCATCGCGAGATCTAACTAAACGTCCGCGATAGCCCCACCGACAAGAAACTAGATCTTATTGGTTCTTAAGAGATCTGACCAGATGCATAGATGAAGAGAACTATTCTCAAGGAGAATTGAAAGGTTTTTTGGGACAATATCATTGTAGGATTCTAGGGTAGGTCAGAAAATTAGTGAAATACCGATGTAACAATTGGGGCCGACGTATTTTGGGATCATTGTAAATGCCCTTACCCCCTTATCATTGGTATATAGGTACATTCGGGGTAGTACTTATTCTAAAGTAGAGTAGTACTCATTCTCGCACAAATATAATTAGCGTGGTATTCATTCTAAAATAATGCGGTACTCATTTTCACATATTGGTTCAATTTAATTTGATAAGTTGGATTTGGGTTAGAACATTTTATTATTTTTAGGCATTTTTAATATTTTTAGAGTTTAATTTTTAGCTGTTTAGTTTAGTTTTATTTTAATTTTTCTTTCATAAACAGCACTTTGTAATCATTTCTTTTTACATTTTATTATTTTTATTTTTCCTAACACAAAATTATCTGATATCTTGTTTTGTGGAGAAAAGCGTAGCAAAAGACCAAATTGAAGATCAAGTTTGAAAAAAAGATTGAATTTGGGCCGAAGCCCAAACCATCATTAACAACAAACCCAATGGAGACTTCTTCTTCGTGTAAAAGCAACACCCGGTTTCTTCAACGCTCCAACGTTCGACTCCATCAATTTCGTTGACAATCAATTGCCAACGGGAAGAAAAGCTTTGACTATAAATTGAGCATAGACTCACCATCGAGAACAGGGGGAACAACGGCGGGAGAGAGCCGTGCCTCAAGCCGCGGTGGTGGAATCCGACCATGGTGGTGGCAGCCGGCGGCGACAGCTCTGGCGGCAGTAGCATCGGGTAACATTCCTTCAAGCTCCAAATCTTCAACTTTCGTCTCCTTCTTCTTCAATAATTGATAACCCTATATGTTATTTCTTCAATTTTTCTCCAGTTCTTTGTAAAATGTTGTTTTTAGTTTAATTTTTACATTTTTGTCTGTGTGCTTGTGTTAATTTCAAAAATTCTAAAATGGTTGGTGTTCTTTATGTTTTTTTCATGTTTATATTAAATCCCTTATGAATGAAAATTGATTCATATTAATTTTCTTCAATTTTTGTGCAAATTGTTGTTGAATTGGTTGAATCGCACGATTTGATTTCATAACTAGGTTGATATGTCGAATTTGGTTTTCATTGCATCTATTTTAGCTCCATATTATAGTTAAATGATTTCCGAATTCATACGTGATTCTTCCTTATGCTATGTGTTTTGTAAAATTTTAAAGTTTATAGACTTTTTAGCCCCATAAGTTAGACAATTTCCTTAAGATTCGTTATCGAGGGATTGTTTATGTCTTTGTCTGTTTTATGTTATTTTCATAAAATTTAAGGTTGTTCAAGCACAAAAACAATTTTTAAGTTTTTTGAAAATATGTAATGTTCTCTCACATAAACTAGAATTTTTATGCTTGAGTTGTTCAAGGAAACCTGCAAAATATTTTCATCATTAGACGTTAAAGTTTATTAAAGTGTATAAAATGTTCTTCGTGGATAAATTATGTATGAGAGTTAGAATGAAAGAAAGATTCGCTCTTTTATAAATTTTTTCTTTTTTTGGAATTATTGTTTGAGCGCTTGAGGTGAGTTGGGGTTCAAAGTGATCCAAAAGGCCTTTGAATTATATGACTCTGGGCCTTATAGAGAGTTGACAATCCTCTATATGTGGTTAAGGATATGATTCAACTTGAGCCTTTGAATTATTTTCTATTATTAAGTGCGTAAGTTACGTAATATATTGTCTACGTGCCTATCATACGTGTAATGTTCGACTTGTGTTTGTTCTCTTTTTCATTTTGTTTCGGGTTTTTGGCGGTGTTTCTTGGGTTACCTAAGTTGGTGAAATTGATTATCTTTTGAGCTTGTTTCCCCCATTTAATTAAAAAAACCAAAAAAATAAAAAAAATATAAAGCACGAAAAAATATTAACTTTTTATCCAACCCCCCTTTGTGTTATATTAATATAAGTTTTTATTTACTAAGTTATAATATAAATAGTTGTTTATAAGTTATAAATATAAGTTTTTATACTTAAGTATTTGTTATGAGTTTATAAGTTATATTTTAAGTTTTTGTTTATATAAGTTATATTTATAAGTTTTTATATTTATTTAGCTATAAATTTTATTATAAGTTTTTTACGTATTATCATATGTGTAGTAGTTAGTTAGTTTTATTTTTGTGACAATGTGTTTGCATGCTAATTTGATTTCAAAAGTACAAACTTTTCTCCGTGGGATCGACTCTTACTTCCCTAGCTAGGTATAGTTTTTATTTGATTATATGTTAGGGGTTAGCTAAGGAATTTTTTTTTAAATTTTTAGTTTGTTTTGGACCGCACGACAAGTCTTCAACATAATTATAATATTCATCTACAAATAATGTAGTGTTCATTCTGAAAAAATAGTACTCATTTTCAAATAACTTAGTGTTATTTTCATGTAAAATAAAATCCATACCATAAATAATTTCTTGGTTGTACCCAAAATTGGGTATAACCGGATGTATAATATAATTTGCCCCGGCGTTACAAGCAGATCTAAACGAATCTATCATCGCAAGATCTAACTAAACATCGGCGATGACCCCACCGACAAAGAACTAGATCTTACTAGTTCTTAAGAGATCTGACCAGATGCATAGATGAAGAGAACTATTCTCAAGGAGAATTGACAGGTTTTTGGGATAATATCATTGTAGGATTCTAGGGCAGACCAGAAAATTAATGAAATACCAATGTAGCAATTGGAACCGACGTATTTTGGGATCATTGTAAATGCCCTTACCCCCTTATCATTGGCACCAAGGTTCCCATGACATTGGAACCCAATGTCATGGGATGACCCGAGGGTGCTCCGGTGCCCCGTTCGTAAAATTGATGGTTCCTACCCTCTCTAAATGCATAAACGAGATTCGTAGACCAAACTAGAGGATTACTAGTTTGGGAATGCCCGATCCAATGTTGATCAGTCGCTATATTGTTGTTGCCTTAACGGACTACAGTTAAGTGTCCGAAATTATTTGCCTTAAACTAATGATAGTTTAAGTGTCTGATTGCCTTAACTGACTACAGTTAAGTGTTCGAAATCATTTGCCTTAAACTAATGATAGTTTAAGTGTCTGATTAATAATTGTCTTACTAAGAATAGCTAAGAGCATTGTTATGATTTGGTGTTAGACTAAGAATAGCTAAGAGCATTGTTATTATTTGGCCTTAGATTAAGAATAATTTAAAGGCACTGTTGGAATAATATCTGAATTGAATAAAATGTGTTGATATGAACTGAATAATATCAAAGCTGTGAGTGTCTGAAATGAACATTGTGTGCATGATATCAAATGATTTGATTATGAATTTAGATTCAGTTTATATGGATGTTCGACACATTAGATATGCTTACTCAGCTTTACCGCTGAGCGTGTAGTGTGTTTTATTTGCTACACGCAGGTAAACAGAAAGATTAATGTGATCCTGGCGGCAGAGGGGGCGAGATTGTCGGGATGGATGTGACAAGTTTAAAATAATTTATGATATGTCAAAATTAAATTCGCTTCCGCAATATAGTTGAATACTTCGTACTGTATATGTTATGAAAAATATTATTGTGATAAATAAAAGTGTTTGAAAAGTTTTAAATTTTTACGATTACCAAGTTAAATACTTTAGTCCGAAAGTGGCTGCAAACCTGGATGAATTAGGGTGTTACAGTAAACCCTCCACCCCGCTCCGACCCGAACACACCCCGTACCCCCGTCAATTGCACCCTACAAGTTATTTTTGACTTTGGAGTCAAAATTTGATTTCAATGTCAAAATCAACTTGTAGGGTGCAATTAACAGGTAGGAGGAGTATTCGAGGGGTTGGGTGAGGGAGTTTAGTTGGAGGTAGGAACCCCACCCTATCATTGGGAATACCACTGGTCCACCACTTGCCCAAAAGCCCCTGCAGACTATTGAAAGTGGCCGTAGTAGCCCTCTCCGTGCCTCTATGGATATCTCACCCAGCATATACTTTGTCTCCTCGGACAACTCACCCGAGTTAGCCATTCTAACTCGGGCACTGTCCAGGTCTCCAGTCATTGGTCTCGACGCCGAGTGGAAGCCTGTCCGGTCTCAGCAGTCCAACTTCCCGACGGTCTCCATCCTCCAAATCGCCTGCCATGTCGACGACGACGACGGCGATCGTCGTTCCTCGAACAAGTCGCCGTTGGTTTTTCTTCTCGACCTCTCAGCTATCCTTCTTCCATCAATCTATGATCTTCTTAAGGACGCGTTTGTCTCTCCAAATATTCTGAAGTTAGGGTTTCGGTTCAAACAGGACCTGGTTTACTTGTCATCCACCTTCTGCTCACAGGGCTGCGATCCTGGTTTTGATAGGGTATGCTTTCCAGCAGTTCTATTTTGAGGCTGATTCCATGTACAGAAAATACTTTCTCAAAACTTTCATATCAATTTGACTAAATTTAGTTGAGCCGTTCCATGATTTTTCTGAATTCAGATGAAGTTTAATTGTGTGGCTTGTGTACTCCCTTCTAAAAAGAACTTCAAACTTATGGAGATTATATTGGAGTCATTATGATGTTTGAAGCTTAATATTTGATAGTCATTATTGGTGACTAGGTGGAACCTTTTCTAGATATTACAACCATATATAACCACCTGCAACAAAACCTACAAGGAAGAAGGTCGCCAAAGCAATCTAAGAGTTTAGCAGCAATCTGCCAGGAAGTGTTGGGCATCTCTCTTTCAAAGGTTTGTGGTATGGGAGTTCACATAATGTTTCATCATAAATTTTGGGTGGGTGTAAATGGGAGGAGAGGAAATGGACTGGGAACTTTTAGTTGCTCTCGTTGAATTAAAAAAAAGGAACGGAAATAAACATGTGGTAGATAATCCATTTTTAGCCATTGAATATATTCATTCCTACAATGGGAAGAAAAAAAGGGCAAACATTCATTCTTAATCCCAATACCTAGCGCATCACTGCATCTCAATACATATTTACACACTATTTCTCATTCGTCTCTCCCCTTATGTTTCTGGGTGGGTGTAAATTTGAGAAGAGGAAATGGACTGGGAACTTTTATTTTTTCTCTTTGAATTTGAAAGAAAATGGAAGGGAAATGATTGCTTGGTAAATAATCTCCCGTGCCATTGAAGATATTCATCTCCAAAATGGGAAGAAAATGTGGTGCATATTTTCCATCTTTATTATAATACCTAGCTCATTCCTGCCTCTCAAAACATAGATACACATATCCCTCACCCACCTCTCACTTCGTTTTGTCCAAACCATTGTGCACCCCCAACTTGTTTTCTCTTCACACATTATATCACAGGTACAAGATTACTCACCTACCACTTTATGCCCATGGTATTCTCTTCATTTCAAGTGGATTATCTGCCTATTATGTGCATTTCAAAATGTAGGAACTCCAATGCAGTGATTGGTCACAACGCCCTCTAACAGAAGAACAAAAGACTTATGCCGCAATGGATGCTCTCTGCTTGCTTCAAGTCTTTGATGTACTCAAGGCTAGGGTGGCTAATATAGTAGGTTTGTAAAGTGCCATACTTCATGCATGAATATAGTAGGGTGGCTAATATAGTAGGCTTGTAATATGGTACACTTGAGATGCCAATGCTTTCTTGCTTCCTACATCTTCCAGCTGAATAGGAGCAATATCTACAAGAGCAATTCTAGGGAGACACTTAAAATTGACATCAATAGATGCCATTCGTAGGTGTCACATATTCATTGGTTGATGATCACATTATTGTCGTTTTCAGTCCATTGAAAATTGACAAGAATATCACCAATGTCTTCATAGTTTTTTGTATCTACAATTCTCTCCATGTATTGTATATGGCGCCACACATCTAGACCTCATATGAAAGGCTAGGGTGCTAGACATATTATGGTTGCATGGAAAGGTAGTAGTATATCTTAAATTTAATGCTTAAAGGGTGGATCAATTACTGTGGTTTTGGAAAATAAGTTCAAAAAGTTGGTGCCCCGGGACGGAGAGTGGATTCTTGGAGTGTGGGAGGCTTAAAGAGAAGTCAGAGTGAACAAAAAATACTTTAATTGAAGGTATAAAAATTGATATTAGAGCGTTGGGGTTTAATGAACATATGGCGCATAACAAAAATGGAAAAAATTGATTTCAGTACTTGACCTCATTATATTTTCTATTGGTTCATCTGTTCATGTAGCCTGCCCCATTGGATTGGAATTAAGGCTTGGTTGTTGTTGTATATTAGATGGGTAGGGAGTTTTTGTAAACACATGTATGCATGCATGTGTGTGTTAATAGAAACCTCTTTTGCTCATATTCATGTGCTGCTGATGAAAATTGTATCCCACCTATCAATTAAAAGAAAGCTGATCAATAAAAGTGGGTTTTTTTTAAAAAATTGAGCTAGCATGGGCCAGTAATCATTGTGTGAGTGAGCTCTCTATATAATTCATCTCTATGGACAACTTCTTCAGTCATGTGCTTCTGTTTATCTCACATGCTTTCTAAAGCGTATGTTGAAATACTGAGATAATTTAATTTAGGGAATGCTGCATGCAGTGTTGGAAAGCTCGAATCATCTTCTGACAATCTTGGTCTCAAGCGGATTCTTGCCATGCCAAATATTTCTGATAATGTATGTCAGACTAGCTTCATTGAAGCTACAAAGATGGTCCGAACAATTGTGACTGAATATCCCCAAGGAATAACAATTTGTGAAGAAGCGACTTCCCTATTTCAGTTTTTGAAAAATAAGCAAATGCATGATGCAGTCATTTGGATTGTCAGAAAGTATGGTGATAAACTTTTAGTAAGCGACAATGACAGGAAACCTAAAATGTCGAGGAGAGTGAAAAAGTCGCCTGGACGATTATTGGCAAAACCCAAAACATTGGTTGACGATGAAGATTGGCAAGGTCCTCCTCCGTGGGATGTGTCCTTGGGTGGTGACGGATGCCCCAAGTTCTTATGCGATGTGATGGTATGGAACCGTATATTGGTTGTTATTTCTTAAATTGCTAGAACTCTGGAAGTTAGTACTTAAGAAATTGAGACACTCACGTAGTCACGTAGGAATTGAACAGGGTGTTTGCACTTCACATTTGGCTCTTTGGGCCGTCCATCAAGCTCATGCGTTTTTAAATATTTAACTGGGCTTCATGCCCAAAGAATTAGAATTTAGAAGTGGTGAGGCAGAGGCCTAGTCACCCCAGGTCAGGTTTTATGCCCCAGGTCTAATGAGCTATTGGAGTTGTAGAACTATGCTGTCTATTCTTCTCATGCCTATTAACGCAAGAAGGTTTTGCATGTACTCTGGTTTTTGTGTTTATACGGTGTATGTTTGGTGACTTTGGTATGTATACATTGGGATTTTTAACCTACCCCTCTATTTTCTCTAAAAAAACAAAACAAAAAAAACATGCCCTTGTATTATAAAGAGCCTTGTCCTCTATTTATGGTCAGACCCTTTATGGTTTATGTTTGCCCAGTATTGAATATACACCGGCATTCAGTAATGAAAACATTCCCACTGTAGCAGCAATGTTGACACTGCATTATTTTAGGTTGAGGGATTGGCAAAGCATTTGAGGTGTGTTGGAATTGATGCTGCTGTTCCGCCTATGAGAAAGCCTGAAACAAGGTTGAACCTATGTCATATTTGACCTACGCTTGGCATTTATTTTGGGCCAACATATGTGATGCTTGATCACTAGTGTTTTTTAACCCATTGCTGTATATTGTTCTTGTTACCAGGAATTTAATAGAACAAGCATCTAAGGAGAAACGGGTACTCCTAACACGAGATGCCAAGTTGCTGAGACATAGCTATCTCATAGAAAACCAAATATACAGGGTGAAGAGTCTTCTTAAGAATGAACAACTTACTGAGGTAATCCATTCATTCCACTATGCAACAAGCAAATGACTTGTTCACCCACACTCATAAAACTACACCTAAATTATTTTGCAGGTTATAGCAACATTTAAATTGGAAATTTCTGAGGACCAGCTGATGTCTAGGTGTACTAAATGCAATGGGAGGTTCATCCAGAAAGCTCTGACAACCGAAGAGGCGGTGAAAGCTGCCCAGGGCTTTCAGGTAATCCCAAACTGCTTATTCGACAAGAATTTGGAGTTCTGGCAGTGCATTGTTTGCAAACAACTCTATTGGGAGGTAAAGATTTTGACTGTTTCACTTGTTGTCTGTGTTTCTTATCAAAGTATCTCACTGAATTCCTAATAACTTGGTTTTTATATTGGAATTTGGAATTTCGTGTTGGTGCATGATACTGTAGGGGGGGCAATACCACAATGCAGTACAAAAGTTCATTGACATTTGCAAGTTAAAGGATTAAGCAAGTGAGGCGAATTCACGAGTTATCAGGACGACAGCCCGGCATCCTTTCAATACTTCGCCACGAGGCATTGAGTTTGCTGTTTGGGGAGTTCTTAGTGTGTGCTGCCTGGTCAAGATTCTTGTAAGAACCGATCTCATCTCCCCTTGTATGTTATTTTTAGGACCCTGAGTTAGGTGAAAAAAAATATTTTACTCATCAGTAAAAGGTAAATCTAACATTGATAGGTCTAAACGTACTAGTAGTTTTTCTTGGAAGGAAAACCTACTAGTTTAAGCGCAAAGGAAAAATTTAAAAATTTATGCTTTGAAAGTTTAGGATCTCCAAACGTTATACGGAGTATGTAGTTCAAAACACTACTATGATTTTGCCTGTTTTGGACTATACATTAATGAATTTGTTTTTGGAATCTTTTATAGGATGAAGCAAGGCATGAGCCTAAAAGTGTCTATAAAACTAAAATTATATACACACTCGGCCCGATGCGTGATGCATTATATAGATATGTATGATACAGGCACAGCAATACGTACTTTTCAACAGATTAAAGGCTTAAATAAAGTAGTGTATCTCTACGAAACTAAATAAAAGCAAGCATGTGATGTAAAAGCATATATGCATCATATCACTCTCCAAAAAGGTGAAATCGCTCACCCCGGGCGCCCCTCACCCCCGACCCAACGTGATATATGCATCATATCACGAATCACATGCACATGCCTACTTAGTCTCTTGTCTGGTTGATAATGCTGCTTCTGTCCCACAATTGATTATAATGTTTACTATTCCAAAATCATGATAACTTTTGTTTGTTTGTGTAGTTTTATTGATTATTTAATAAAATAAAATATTTTTGTCACTTCTTGTTTTATAAAACTTTTGATGTTGTTTTTAATTATGTAAGTTTTATTTTTTTTACTTATGTCTCAATCTTTTGATAAAATGAATTGAAATGGGAACAAATGGAATATAAAAAAAGGATTAGCCCCATCCTCGAGGGCCTCTCAGACTCGGCAGGCCGGTCACTGGGAAGAGATACATTGGACTTTAATTGCATATTCGTGGCAAAGAGTGGAGCCTGCACTTGACACTTGCAGAGATCCTATGCTTAGCATAGTTCCTTCCCAGTGCAATTGTCAGGAATCGAGCTTGGGTCTTATCCCCTTGGTATCCTTTACCTTGCTAACTGTGCAACGCCTACGGGCTGGAACTGATCTAATATATACTTAAGACGTGGGGCCTGTTTGGGAATAGCTTTAGCGTTTTGAAAAGGCTATCTACGGTCAGCGTTAGGCGTTAGCATTTTCAAAGTAATCTGCACCGTTAAAATTTTATCCAAAACGTTAACGCTAATATCTAACGCTATTTCCAAAGAGGCCCGTGGTGGTATTGATATGAAAAACTTCGTTCTAACCTCATACCCTTTTATATCCTTCGTCCATATAAACTAGATTCATACCCGTGCGATGCACGGCGAGAAACATATTAATTTTTTTTTATAATGATGCAATTAAAATTAGTTGTTAATTTCTAAAGATATAAATTTGTAGAGTAACATTTCCATAAGAATAGTTTCAATATGATTATCAACTTCTTGAACTTTACCACTATAATTAAAAAAATATTAAAACTAATGAATATTGATGCAAATCTCCTTTAGCAACTTTTCGTGCATTTGTGATCGCTTACAATCATATATAATCTTAATCAAACTCTTTGCAACAATATTGCATATTATAGAAACAAATTTTACATTACACATTTTGGAAAACTTCTTTGTATACTTAAGACGTGGGGCCTGTTTGGGAATAGCTTTAGTGTTTTGAAAAGGCTATCTACGGTCAGCGTTAGGCGTTAGCGTTTTCAAAGTAATCTGCACCGTTAAAATTTTATCCAAAACGCTAACGCTAATATCTAACGCTATTCCCAAAGAGGCCCGTGGTGGGATTGATATGAAAAACTTCGTTCTAACTCCATACCCTTCTATATCCTTCGTCCATATAAATATGTTAAACATTTCTTTTTCTATTCATCTATAAAAAGGTTTAATTTCATTTTCCACTTAGAAAAAAGGTTGTGGCTGACCTTTATAATTATTTCCTCTGCATCACTAATAATTAAAAACACAATTTCATTTTAATTTTAAGCGCCAACTCAAAAATGAAACTTTTTTATGAGAGGGAGGGGAGAGTATTTGACCTCACATTTTTCTTTAACAATCGTCTTGTACAAATTAAAAAAGAAATCACTCTAAATAGGAGTAAATCGTCCAATACCTTCTACAAGTCTTGCAAAAGTATCTTGGCTGAGACAGGCTATATATAGTACGTTGTTGTAGTAGCAGATAGAACTTTGTGTTGGTGGAACTGCACGCACCTTGGACAATTCAATGCTCTTTCCTTTTCTGGCCTTGGATTATTATTATTATTATTATTATTACTCCTCTCCTGTACGTACTCCATTATATTCACTACAACATTCCCCCCTTTAGCCTGCCCAATTCCAACTAACGGTTCAGAATTCAGAATATGCATGCACATCCATAATATATATACTCCCTCCGTCTCCCTGTATTTGTCCACATTTGACTTTTGGAACTGTTCATCTAAGCACTTTGACTCATCAAATTCTCTCAATGTGCAAGTCTAAATATAATCATGTGTGATCTTGTTTGATTTGTCTTAACATATAGATTATTAATATATAATTTCTATAAAGGGTATAAGTCGAAAGGGTAATTTTCATTCTTCAAATTCAACACATAAATTACCCAAAATATTTTGGATAAAACATAGAAAAATTCTCTAAATAAGAGTTCTATAATTTTATTATAAAAATAAGAATTTGTATTGTGACAATATGACAATGTATACTGCTTTTCACAATATCTTTTTGGTATTATATACATTGATAATATTAGCATTGTAACTCATATTTTGGAATTAAAAAGATGAAAATCATATTTGGATACTTTCTCTATTTCTTAATCATGTTTTAGCCTTTTTCCCTTTAGTCTTAGAGTTTTGAGTAATTCTTACTCTCTTTGTCCTAAAAAAACTATTAGTTCGTGTTTCGATACCATGTTAGAAAATAATATCGGGAAAGAAATCTGTATATTCTATGGTTTCGTTCAATACAAAGAGAAGACCCTCCTTGTATGGGAGAGGGTAATGCCATAAAAGTAAACTTCTATTCCTACTAAGGTTCTAAAAGCTTCCATAACAAGAAACAACAAAATTAAATCAAGTCTTTGAAGGAACCAGTTTCCTTCTTTCCTCTTGGTTTGTGCGTGTTGCCCAAAAGTTTGACTTGGCACAAACTTTGAAGTAATCGAAAATGTGCGGTGAAAATGATGCAGAAGATAAAGAAAGATTGTGATTCAATCAAAGTTTTTCAAAAAAAGAAAAGAATGATTTTTTTTGGATATCCCAAAAAAGAAGCAAGAAGTCCTTTTTTTAGGACGGAGGAAGTAGTAATAACTTAATTGTCAATTACGAAGTATGTCCTCCCCTACATATCTTTCTTCTTATTTTGAATTTGTACTAAACATGAAGTAATTACTCTCTAAAATACCGAAAATTCTTGAAAAAATCGAATCGAAAAATTTCGAATGGAAAAATACCGCTAAAATACTGAATCATATCGAACCAAATGTTTGGTTCGGTATTTGGAAACAGTACGAGGTAACTTCCCATACTGAAAATCTCGAACCAAATATATATACTAATACTTCATCCGTTCTTAAAAACACTTCCTCTTTCATTTTTTCCATTTCCAACAAAACACTTCCCATTTCTATTAAAAAACCACTTTTACCCTTACTTTTTTATACCCTACCTATCACATCACACTTTTTCTCTAATAATCAATCCATTACATCTTACTTTTACCCATCACATTAAGGGCAAAATTAAAAGTCAACTATAATTTTACACTTCCTTATTTTGGCTCCAATTCAAAGTAGGAAGTTTTTTTGCAAACGGAGAGAGTATGTTATAAGTATAATAATCTTTTTTATATTTTTCATTGAGTAATAAGTTTATTTTTAAAATTTGACTCAAATTTTATTATATGTACATTGTACGTTTATTTGAGTTTTAGTTTTTAATTGGTAGAAGAATTTAAAAATAGTCACACATTTGAAATATTATTTTGTATTATCTGTTCACTGTAGTTTGTGAGATATAAACAATGTTTAGTAAGCATTTCTTGCATTTAATTTTTCATTTAGTTTGTATGTTTATTATTTAAATTTACTTTCGATTTTTAAAAAAATAAATATTTTGTGACATTTTAAACTTTAAATTAGGTGCATATGTATTCATCCCGAAAGGGAAATCGATACCGAACCATCTCGAACCATACCGAACCAAAATTTCAAGATCAGGATCGATACGACGTAAAATCTTATACCAAACCAAAATATTTAGTTAGGTATCAGTACAAGTTAAATACTAGTTGTACCATATCGTACCATGTTCACCACTAATAAAACATACCTTTATCTACTTCTTAGTGGGCTTGCTTTGTGTCACTATTTTTGAGATAAAGTGTAGTGAGGAGTGACACAAAGGGTCTCTACACAAAATGTTTTTAAAAAAGTGTAAATATGTGGTTGGCATTGAAGTATGAGTAACAAAAGTGTTTGAAAACATGGTACACTACAACAAAAGTTGTGGAACGAAGACTGGAACAAAGAAATGGAGTGGTAAATGTAATCTTTTCATTTACTCCGTAATAATTTAATTACCTTCTACATTCCACAAAAAGCCTTCACACTTGTTTTCTTGAATGTCTTAAAAAAACTTTCTACCTGCTTTATTTTTTAAAAGAATTCAATGTGTCTCACAAATTATCAATTTTATCTAAATAAAATTTAACCATCATTTTTTATTTCTTAACATTTTTGTTAAATCCATAAAAAAGAAAGCAGGAAGTTTTTTTTAGGGAAGTACTTTGTTCGTCTCTAATATAAATTTTACAAATTATTTAATTTGAAATCAAAACTTGTCAATATTAACCGCAAAAAGTCAAAATTGCACAAATACATACTTTGGGACGGAGTAGTTTATATACATGCTTTGGGCTGAGCTAGATCACTAGCTAGGTGCAGGTACACGCACCTTTTTGTTTTCATTGTTAAGCTATAGGTTATAACTATTTTTCTGAAGAAAGAGTAGTTGAGTAATTGAAGAAGAAGAACAATATTATAACATGCAAAGAAGATCATAATGAAATATCAAGAGAAAATAGAATAATTTGTTTCAGCTATGCAAAGAGAAAATAAAAAATGGTTATAAATCTTGATGTAAAAGAAGATTTTGAATCTTTGAATAATTTTTTTTAAAGAAGCAAAGATTCCAAAGAAGATCATAATGAAATATCAAGAGGCAAAGCAAGTTTAAACTTTAAAGATGCATGATAGAGAGAGCATATATATATATATATATATATATATATATATATATATATATATATATATATATATATATATATATATATATATATATATATATATATATATATATATATATATATATATATATATATATATATATATATATATATATATATATATATATATATATATATATATATATATATATATATATATATATATATAGGGGCTGGTTCAAGTGAGAATGCACCTTGGTGAAAGAAATAAGAATAAAATCTGACCTTTGGATCTGATGCATCGTGCGGCTCAGATTGCATTCTGCACTCAAATTTTGAGATAGTGCATTTTCAAAGGATTATGGTGCATTTCGACATGATGCATTTTCAAACCATCTTGGTGCACCTAATTTTGATGCAATCCTAACCCTTAGATCTCCCAATCTAATGCACTAGATTCATTCTTATTTCTTTCATTAGATTGCATTCTCACCTGAACCAAAATCTATATATATATATATATATATATATATGTTGAGTGTGAAGCCAGGAAGCTAGGTGGAAACTAACAGGAAATTGACAGGAAACTACCTAGAAGCTTCTAACTTCCCTAATCATTGTGCTCTCCTAATTATTCTCTATTTAAGAGATGCTAATGTGCTTGTAATTGTTGTGCAACAACAAATAATAAAATCCTCCTAGTTGCCCCGTGTGGACGTAGGTTGCAGTTGGCGGCCGAACCACGTTAAATCCTGTGTCGTTTATTTTTCTGCAGTTGATTCGTGATTGTGTGTTGTTTCCGCGTGCGTTTATCCCAACAAGTGGTATCGGAGCCTGGTTCGTTAACACACCGGAAATCCGATCAGCAGAAACTAATCGGAATCAGAGGAGTGTCACCTGGGTTTTTTGGAGAAGAACTGTGTGCAGCAGCAGGAGCCGGAGTGAGGGCCGCTGCCTCCGGAGCACCACCTCCCCGGCGATCCCCACGAAGCACTGCCGCAGCAGGAAGTGAGTCCCTTGAGACTCACCGCTGCCCCCATCAATCGGGCAGATCCAGACCGCCGCCATCCGAATCGTGTCGCCGTCGCTGGTTCCAGGGGGACCGCAGCAAGCGAAGGAGCCGCTGCCGCCGTCACCCGCGCAGGAGTAGCCGCTAAGTCACCGCTGCCGTCGTCGATCTCCCTCCGCCGCTGGTTCAAAAGCGGGTGAGAGGCTTGGGCAGGTTGTTCGCTGTCATCCGCAAACCGCCGTAGCCTCCCCTCGTCAAGCCGCCGCTGTCCAGTACAGATCGCCGCCACCGTTTGCCTTCCGACCGCCGCATGTAGGAGCAGCGGCAGAAGGAGCCGCCGCCGCGTGGAGGAGCCATCGCCGTCGCAGGGGAATAACCGCCGCGTCTGACCAGCGTCCAAGCGTCGCCGTGTGTTGCTGTCTCCATTGCCCAATTGCCAAGAAAATTGCACAGTAGCCAAAAGAAAGTGGAATGCCATTGTGGAATTTTTGGGTGGATTTTGAAGTGTTGGGCCAAAAGAAAAAAAAGAGGTGGGGGCCATTGTAGAATTTTTGGTGATAGTGGTGTGATTTTTTTGTGGGTGGTGTTAATTTTTTGTGTCCTAGATATCTTATCTGATAAAAATATCAAGATCTGAAATTAGTTGTATCGGGTATCTCATCTTGTCGTTGGAGATGGCAGAAGATGGGAAGGTCCGAATTGAGAAGTTCGATGGTACAGATTTCAGTTGGTGGAGAATGCAAATTGAAGATTTGCTGGTCCAGAAAGATTTGGACGTGGTTTTGGGTGACAAGTCAGAAAAAATGTCGGATGCAGATTGGGCAGTTTTGGATCGGAAAACAATGTCCGTGATCCGTCTCTCGTTGACCAAGAATGTTGCGTTCAACATTCTGAAGGAGACGACAGCGAAAGGCATCATGGAAGCGCTGTCTAACATGTACGAGAAGCCATCTGCGGCAAACAAAGTGTTTCTGATTAGAGAATTGGTGAACACAAGGATGAAAAATGGCACTTCCGTTACCGAGCATATCAACAAGTTAAATTCGATCTTAGCCAGACTTTTGTCAGTGGGATTAAGTTCGATGATGAAGTTCAAGCTTTATTACTGTTATCGTCATTGCCTGACACTTGGTCCGGAACTGTTACAGCAGTTACCAGTTCAGCGGGACCTGACGGATTCACTTTTGAGAAGATTCGTGATCTCGTTCTTGGCGATGATGTCAGAAAAAGGAGTTCTGGTGAGTCTTCGGAAGAATCACTAAATATCGTCAGAGGCAGAAGAAATAACAGAGGTAGTGGGAGTAAGAACAGACAAAGGAGTCGATCGAAGACTAGGGATAGCTCAGGCGTAACATGCTGGAAGTGCAAGGAGGTGGGGCATTTCAGGAATCAGTGCCCGAAAGAGGATAAACAAGTGAACATTGTTAGAGGCTCCGCGAGCGACGAGGATTTGTTTATCTGTTGTGCGAAGAGCAGTGTAGATTTCTGGGTCATGGATTCTGGTGCTTCATTTCATGCTACCCACAGCGGTGAAGCATTGCAGAATCTAGTTGTTGGGGACTTTGGAAAGGTACGACTAGCAGACCCCTGTGAAGCATTGCAGAATCTTGATGTGACGGGCATGGGTGACATAGTGCTGAAGACCCCTGTCGGTATCTGGACTTTGAAGGATGTCAGAGTGGTTCCAGCCTTGAAGAAAAGTTTGATTTCTGTTAGGTGGTTGGACGAACAGGGACACGAGGTGAAGTTCGGAAATGGGCAGTGGAAGGTCGTGAAGGGAAATCTTGTCATGGCCCGCGGAAGGAAGAGTGGGTCGTTGTACATGGTCGGGTTACCGTCTCAGTTCAGAAGAGAAACAAAGTCCGGTTCACAGAGTCTCGTGGGCAGAAGAAGGTTTTCTATGCAAGAAAGAAACCCAGAGCCACAGGTCAGACTCAGGATGAACGAGCGAGGAAAGGTTCAATGAGGCCAGTCAAAGGTATCTGTGGCAGTGGGAGCACAGGTTTTGTTTCAGCCAAGGTTCCTATAAGACATTGGGTCCGGAGAACCAGTATTCCAGTTGTTGAAACATCTCCAGAAAATTTCTTGCTCAGTATGGAGATTGTTTGTTCTCAGGATGTTCCAGGATCCGGCAGTGCGTGTGTGCAGTGGGAGCCGGTAGGGACCGAGGACGAGTCAGGGGCAGTTCAAGCCATGACTGATGGGTTGAAACTCAAGAGAGTTTCAACAGAGTCTTCTCGATGATCAAGAAGGCTGGTGGCAACTAGAGGTGGTGGAATTTTGTGTTCCATTGTCAGATTACAGAAGTACATGTGCACAGTTGAAGCGCAGGTGAACATTGTTCCGTGGCTTCAAGTGAGAGATTGTTGAGTGTGAAGCCAGGAAGCTAGGTGGAAACTAACAGGAAATTGACAGGAAACTACCTAGAAGCTTCTAACTTCCCTAATCATTGTGCTCTCCTAATCATTCTCTATTTAAGAGATGCTAATGTGCTTGTAATTGTTGTGCAACAACAAATAATAAAATCCTCCTAGTTGCCCCGTGTGGACGTAGGTTGCAGTTGGCGGCCGAACCACGTTAAATCGTGTGTCGTTTATTTTTCTGCAGTTGATTCGTGATTGTGTGTTGTTTCCGCGTGCGTTTATCCCAACAATATATATATATATATATATATATATATATATATATATATATATATATATATATATATATATATATATATATA